AATACTCCATCTCTTTTTCTGGTGATATCTATTATCTCACAATGGGCAAACAAAATTCTTATTTTCAACTGATTTTGAAGTATTTTATATTAGGTGACCAAAATTTTCCTTATTATTCAATTATAATATTACTTTATTTTCTAAAAATTATCTATTTTCCACCATATTCAACCCTCTAATTAGTAATATGAAATCCCCTCTAATAAATCAAAACCCTTATTTTCTTCAGCCTTACTCTGGCTTTCTTCCTTTGCCAACTAACCTTCCATGTCAGTGCTTTTGAATCATCAAATAGCTCTCCCTCTATTATTATATATATTATTTGGAATAAGAAAAAACATTTGGTTGCAGTTTTTTTGGAAGAACTAGCCCATTTGTATTTATTAGATCATCTCCCTATTATTCCAATTTCCCACAATTGTCCTGATAGGTTTATCTTCCCTTCAATTTGTTCTTCCTTTGCCTCAAATTTCTTCTGATTTGTGTAAAAAGTCTTTTCCATTTTCAGTGTTGTCACTCCCTGTTCTGATTTTTCTGTTAGCTGGATCTGTTGGTCAATTGAGTCCTCTGTCTTAGTGTTTAGTTGTTCCACTTCTCCTGTTATTTTCTGCATTGTTAGTTCTTTGGTTGTAGTAAAGATCTGGGTTTGTATATTTAAGCTGGTATCTTGTTCCTTTATGTTGCATCTTATTTTGTCACAAGCTGAAATAATGGTTTCGTGTATTAATTTTAACATGGAAAGGATCTTCATCCATATTATCTTAATAGTATGTTAAGTTGAAGACTTTAGAATCAAATGTTAAAAATAGGTTTTTGTTTTTTATAGCTAGGTATGGGACATCTATTTCACATGTTGGTCTTTATAGTAGAAATTGTTTGTCAAGTAAGAGTTTATAGTCCAAGGTATCCCATCATCTTGTATAATAACATATGCTTCTCATGTAAGGAAATAGGAAAGCACTTCCCCATGTATAGCTCTGAAAGTCAGTAAAAGTTTGCATTCATAGTTCAAACAGGCCAGATATGCCACCCAGAAGTTCCTTCTTTGCAGCTGAGTTTTTCACAGGTGGTAGCTGTCAAGGTCAAAGAAGTTTTTTCTGGAGTCTGGGCTTCAAGCCAAGTCTCATTTAGGCAATAACAAGTTGTAATACCATACTTCACCACAAGATGTCACTGATGCCATTTAAAACTTTTTAAGTCCAAAGTTTTTATGATAGTTTTTCAAGTCTTTTTGTTTTTAGATAAAAACAAATGTCTCCAGTAAGAATAGGAATACTTTTAGTCTCCAAGTTTCAAAAGCATATACATCCAATTAGATTAAAGTTGTTCTTATAGTTGCTCTGTTTCCCCTGGGTAGTTAGTAGCCGCTTTTCTTAGAGGGTGGAGTAGAAATTTCCTTCCCTCTCTCCTCACAGGGGGGAAATACTTTGGGCAGCTTTTACAGGAAAAAATATTTAAAGTCTTAAAGAGATCTCATGCAGTTTCATCCGTGTTGCTTTAAAGGTGCTTGGTGGTGATTTTGACTTCAGCTGTCAGCAGCTTAGTGACGAGCCATATTGCTATGGCCAGTCTTTCCCCCACTGATTTGGAGGGCTTTCCCAGATCCAATGGAAGGGCCATCACCCTCCTGCAATCAAGGTGGGGGTCCCCTCCTTGCTTGTCGCCCCTACAGGGTGACGTTTGACCCTTTCCAGGGTCCCCCAGAGGGATGAAATCAGATGCGAAAGATGGAGTTCATCTTCCAGTGTCTGTGGCACCATGATGGCAAACTGGATGTCGCTATGTTCTGACTGTTTTTAATAACTGCAGAAAAGACTATTGAAAACCACAAACTGTTATTATCATTTTAGGATTTTTCTCTGGTTGCTGCAGAATTCCAATTATGCTATTTTAAAAAGCTTTGCCTGAGATGCCCAGGATGGGAGTCTTCTGGCTTGCCAAATGTTAGTGATTAACATGGTCAACCCCAAAGTGTGTTGGTAGTCATTGTGGTCTAGCAGTGCCTAGAAGAAAGCATGGTCCCTACCCCTGATATATTTTATCTATCACATGAGTCCAATACAGATATGTACAGTAAATAGACAGGCTGTGAATGTTCTGAATGGCTCAAGGCCCTATTGATCCTTTAAATCATCTGTATCAGAAATAAAATGGTAGCATCTGCACTCCTTGTTCTATTCTGCCTTTTTTGTTCTTATATTTGAAATAAAACCCTGTTATATTTTTTTTTCTCTTCTCTCCCTTGCTTTGACCTTAGGTTTGCAATTCTGTTGTTGATAGTAAATGGTAGGCACTAAATCAACAAAATATGGCTGCAGTAAGTGTAACTCTTCTAATCACAGTTTTCAGTAAGCTGGTGCTCTTTAATGTGTTGGAGGTACAATTCTCTGAATTTTCTCCAGAGTAATTTTTGGAAGAAATTCTCTAAGGGCTAGTTGGTGGTTGACAGAATATATGAAGTGAGGCACAGCTTTTTAAAGGAAAATATTATGTACCGTATAAGTCTGAGTCATCTGCCTTACAAGAAAAAATATACTTTGTTTTTAGTGAAGATGGGAAGGGAAAGGGTACTTTAGTGTTATCATGTCATCCAAAAGGAAGACTGTACATTCCTCCCACCTATTGACTGACTGGTGTGTGACCAAACAATTCTTTCTAAAGTACATTCAATTTACTTGTGTAAAATAGTGGTCAAAATGATCTGATTTAAGTTGAATACACATGCTAGGGTACATGAAATCATCCCGTTTGAACAGACAGAGCTTTGATTCAAAGCCTACTGTTTTCTCTTCTTTTTCTATTTTTCTTATAGACTAGATGATCAAGTTAATTTGTTATTAATTAAGTTGTTAATTTCTTTAGCATTTTGTAACCCACAACATTTTTCATGTTCTATGTCATCAAATTCTACCTATGTATATATAAAGTTGAGTTTGGAACTTGACATTATGGACTTTCTCTTCCTGTTTCTGACTCTTTTATGTATCTGTTAACCAAGGTGAATGAGTTGTTATTTGCCTTTATTATTCTCCTGAACATAGTAAAAGCCTGGATGGACAACTATCGGAAGTAGAGGTGCCATCACTGTGAACATAGAATCATGTTCCCAGCAGTGATGTATGCATGATACATACAATCATACAATCATGTATGCAGCCAACTTAGTAGAGAGTTCAGCTATGTTGGTGACATCTCTTGTTTTTGGTCATCCTCTGCATCTCCAAGCATCTACTCAGAAGTAAACATAACTGAATTTGCAGAACTTATTCCCATGTAAGAATGCATATGATTGCAGTCCTTAAGAAGGATCAGGAACAGGACCTGTGAGATTTAATTCATGTTTAATTTCTTCCATATAGTTCAAACAGCTGAGGTAAGAACACATGTTTTCTGTCCCTGATGTTTGGTGTAATCTAATGACACAATATCTAATAGTGTCTCTCCTCCCTCTCCCTTGAGTAATATGCTCTCCACCCATCCTTGGGTCAGCAGAAAACTATTTGGACATTTGCTACCCATCTTGCTAAATCCTTATCCTGCCTCAGTTGTCTCTGTTCAGAGTTACTGCAATCTCCTATTTTATTCCAAAATAATAGGACACAAAATAAATGGATTTTACACAGCTGTAAAAATGAGGCTGTTCTTGAATAGTCCCCCTTGCAGTGAAGGAGTAGGGCAGGAAAAGAAAGCTGGCATAGATAAAGGCAACTTAATCGTGACTCATATGTGAGATGAAGACAGTGTCATGGGGACATGACTGAAAAACGATGGAACTGCAGTATGTGCATTTCAGGTTGAGGTGCAAGTAGGAAAACCCTCACATTTAACCCCCAGTTCCATGCTAGGATTTACTTGTATTGGAGACATCACAGTTTAAAATGTTTACTGTAAATTTTGGATTTTCTTTCTTTTCCCTATTTCATTTTTGTAATGACTTGGTTGATGAAGAATTCTGCAAAGACTTGTCTATACGGTTGTATTATTTTTGGTTTATTTAATATCACCCAGATAGGGATTTTCAATTTTTTTCCCTCCATGGATGTGTGTGTGTATGTATGTGGTCAAGAAAATAAATATTCACAATGTAATATTTAATAATAATAATCTGGCAGAGAGAGGTTCTGCATTTACTTTAGAAAACTAAATAAAACAGGTGACTTGTTTCATTTGTAAGATCCCCTTTTGTGATCGTGTAAAAGTCATTAACCAAAAAGGACATGATTTGAATATTCAACATTTTTTTCCAAATCCATGGCTATCAAGAGAATGAAACTAAACTATGCCCCCCTTTGCATAGTTGCTTAGCTTTGAAGATGCTGTGATTCATTTTCACTGAAAAGGATGTCTCCTTAAACTTGATATTTCCCCATTTCATATTTGAATTAGTCCAAGTGAAATTAGCAGGCTTTTGTAGAAAAAAACCCATATAATAATAAATGATAAATATAGGGATTATCTTGTTTCAGTGCACTGATAGTGGGAGTTTGGTTTTTCCCCCCTTTCTTTTCTTTTCTTTTTTTTTGGGGGGGGGGAATGCTAACTGAAATAGGATAAACTTGCTTTTGATACTATACTTCAGATTCCCTTTAAAGGCTTTCTACCTATTTTTTAAATGCAGGTTGCAGGTTAAAACCATATATTTGCATAATAGTAAATTCACTGTCAGTCACACAGATTTTGACGTTCATGATAAAATTGTTGTATTGTTTAGCATCATCTGGGTTGCCAAAATCTCAATGACTATTAAATGACAGGATATCAAAAAAAATCTCTCTCAGATATTTGCACTCTAGTTCTAAATAAGCCCATGCATTTTGAATTTCTAAACAGTCGTAACTCACATTTCCTTCTAATGATACCTGTTCTCTATACATTTTAAGTTGAGCATGAACATTGTGCCCAATTCCAGTGCAATCAATCCTGTTGATTAGTAAATTCTGTTGAACTCAATGAGATTTACTGCAATCTATTCCTAATCCAAAACCAAAATCATCTAAACATTCCAATAGGTGTTTCTTTATTTGAAATGGAATGCATGTTAAAAAATAAATCACATTTCTCCACACTTCGAACTGTATACATTGGTTTGAACCTTATTTACATACATTGGTTTGCTACATTGTTTCAGTTCACAATGCCTGAAATCACATCATTGTAACTAATCCGCAAAAGCTAGTGTTTGCAGCTGTTATTTTTTTAATTAACAGACTTTTTTTCAGAATATAATATAGAAGAGTTATTCTTTGTGCCAGAAATTTAAAATAACACATCATATGTATTCTTGAAAAGCAAATATATGACACAGAATATTATTATTTACCCTACCATTTCTTTGCAACCTCAGTATAAAGGCTATTTTCTCTAGAATATTATATAGAGAGTGTCACTGTACCTCAGGTAAGCACCATATAGAAAGGGTAAAAATATCTAAATATATGTATGCAAACCATCTGCTATTACTAATTCATGAAACTTCCTTTCTAAATTCTGGATCAGGAGGCTGTAAAGCACTATGAAGTGCCATATAAGTCTAAGTACTATTGCTACCTCCCAGATACATAAATATAATTGCTTTTCCCTAAAGTTGTATGTTTACTTTCCAGTTGTTTTAGAGCCCAGCTATTAAAATTCTCATAGTCATATTCTTCTGACAAATCTGTGAGCCATCTGGTTGGGGATGCATGAAATATAAAATATTTCTTCATAGCAAGAGATTTTAGCTTAAATATGCAATTCTATACATGTTTGAAAGGGCTGTGCATGCTTTCAGTACTTCTCTGCTCATAATGCCACATCTTTTTAGACATCCATATAAGACTGAAAAAAGATGCTTCTGCTTTAAGGAGTCAACTTATTAACACAACTGTTAAATCAGCATGAGCATAATAGCATGAAAAGAGACAATGACTTTAATGAACAGCAGAAAATGCTCATACAAGATCCAAAGTACTTCTTATAAAACATTTTCAAAGTTTGTAGAGCCTAGAGGCAACTTCTACTGTTTTCAAAGTGTTATAGGATTGCAAATAAATTTTCTGTGTCACAATTGCAACATCAAGGAGAGGCCTCTTTTTTAAAAAAACCTATTGTACTTTTGAACAAAACCGACAATGAAGTATCCTATGTTGGAGGATGTAAAGAAAACTATTTTATGTACTTTTGTACTTTTGAACAAAACCGATAATGAAGTATCCTATGTTGGAGGATGTAAAGAAAACTATTTTATGTACTTTATTCTTGGAATCCCTTTAGATTAAAAAAAAGCAACAAGTACCCCCAAAACAGGAAACAGGATGCTTCGCTTAATGACCATCACTTCATCAGACAGCAACTGGGCAGGTTCTGTCATGGCTATACCTTTTTGAGTTTTATAAAATATAATATTTTAGACATACAGAAACATAGACACACAGACATACACAATGATGGTACATTCTTCTCAATCACTGAATTGCTTTTTAAGTTCCATTGCTCCTTTTATCTCCAGGTGCTATGATTATAAAACAACTAAGTAATGACTTCTGATAGAATCAGTTCAAAGATATCACCTAGACTAGATTCCTATTATGAAAACTAAGAATCATTTTTCATAATCCTGTGGTCATTTCAATCTGAAAAATAAAGCACTGCAGATTTGCTGAGCATTGCGCATGGTGTGTTGCTGTCATTTCAGTTAATATCCTCTATTATCAAATATTACTTGTTTTTCTGTTGGATTGTAATAAACTAAGAAGTTGGAGATAAACTCTTTTTTTTGTATAGTTTAATATTGAAGTGCAAGTGTTTGAACCAATCACAATGCATTCAATATATCATTTAATGCTTTAGTCCAAAACCTCCTTCTAGAACATGAAACTGCTCAGGGATGTAAAATATATTATTTGATTGATAAGACAGAAGGAAGCCAGAAATACTGTTGTTCTTCCCATCTATGTTTATTTCAAATCTTAAATATAAGTGTTGAAATATTTACTTATGATAGCCCACTTATCATAATTTGGTCACATTTGCCCCAAATATAAGACTGAACCTATATGGCTATAGTTGCAGTTCTTGTACCTGGTATTTTTGTACAACTGGGCTTCTTAAATTGCCCATTTGTTCAGATCTCAATTGGAGAAGTATGGGAGCTAAGCTGATGCTTAGTCATTTCTGTAGAGTCAGAATAAGAACTGAAGCCTTACAGAAACCTTCCATAATTTATCAGGATAAGAATGCATAGAACTGCATACAAATGTTTAATACTTCAAGGTGCACTGTGCTGTGTCTAATTTGATTTTAATTAGAACATAATGAATTTTATTTCATGAAAAACTAGGTTTGGAAGATTACAAATCCCTCAAAACAGAATATCCAGCCTGAAAAGCATAGTATATATTACCGTATCAAATTAATAATTAGGAAATATATTTTAAATCAATAGGTCAAGGGGTTTTAGAACTCTTCTGTTATATTAAGATTCCAAATAACACAAGAAGACCAAAATAGTTGATTAGGCTGACAAAAAATAAATGTTAACATAGTTTAAATATTCAATTGGACATTATTATGTATGTACTTATTTAAATCACTGTTCTAAGAAGAAATAATTTTGATTATAGGAATTATGAAAAATATTGTGTAGGACATGACCCCAAAAAACCAAAATGATAGGAAATATTGGTAAAAGTATCCAATTAAGTACTTTAAGGCATTTTATATAAAATAATGTGATAAGGAGTAAAGTAAAACCACAGTAAGAACTATTATAGGCTAGGGACAAATTTAAATAAAGAAGTGCAATAAATTATCTTTAGTATGCTTCTTCCAACAAATCTCATATATAAAAAAACATAACTTTTTTATAATTATTTTTCTGTCAACTAAGATTTTCTGCTTGTGAAGTAAAAATATGAAAACTGGTATAACTGATTACTGCTGAATACAATGTATAATACCACAAATCAAATGACTGTTGAATAAACAAAAAATTCAGAATTTTAATTTAAAGCCATTGCTTTCTTTGGAGCGGATGTTCTCATTATTTAGAATGTTGGTACAATACTTCAACATATCAAGATACATTTCATACATTCATTTCATAACAGCCTTCCACTTTTTGAGATGAAAACTGTTGCAAAGCAGTGTGTGAAAACTATATGAAGAGTTTGTGTCCTGGTAAATTCTTCATCTTTCTGTTTTCTTCTTGCTTCAGTTTCTTCCTCTATCTACAGCAGCATACACAACTCACCAAAGCAAGTATTTTCTGCACTTCATTGTCTCTCAGAAGATCTACATTCAGAAGTAACCTGAAAACTTAAAATTCCCACTAATAAATATACATACAAATAAAACATAGTGGAATTTTAAAAATGACAGTGCGACATATGTCCTTTGAGGTCAAATATGCTTTTCCCAAGTTTAAGCAGTAGCCAAAACCCAGAACAGCTGAAGTACTTCTCTAAAGCACCCACAGATGGTGTCAAAACTGGACAAAATCCAGGGGCTGAACTGATGTTCTTGTAGTTGTCCTTTACTTTGCCAGCCTTTGATCACTGTTCCTCTTACTTCCAGAAGCGCCTGTTAAATTTGATCTATAACAACACACACAAAATATGATCTGAGTAATGTAGCAGCATTCTGTGTTTGCAAATTAGACAAACCTATTGCTTGTTCTTTTAAATCCAATACTACTGATGAAATGGAAAGATTCTCCTTCACAATATTTTCGCAAAAGAGCATAAGGTTAGCAATAAATTGCATAAGTAGTCTTAAACTTTAGCTAAAGACTCTCACTGCTCTCAACAACACATCCCTATTACAATACTGTAAAGCACACATCACCAACTGGTTTGGGTCTCATTGCTGAGAAGTCACGGATGATTACATGCCAGTCACCGGAAGACTCTGATTATGCCTTTTACAGATAACACATTCATAATTGCTGCTTTACATGAACAGTTTGCCATCCCAGATGAGACATTTCATGTAAAAACATACTGAATTAATTATCCTCGAATTCTTTCTACTCATTTTTCAGCCCTAAGGTTTTTGGGGAATTATTTGTAGGTTAAAAAAAAAAAAAAAGTAAAGATTTGGTATTGTATGAAGGGGGGGAGGGGAGAAGAATCACAGATAACTCAGATGACCCCTCTCTTTCCTTACCCCAGAGCCTGAATTCAAAAGGCTCCACACCACACATAGACCATAATGGAGCCTGCCCATCACAGTCATAAGTCATAATAATCATACGTCGGATCACCTTCTAATTGATCTGATTTTTAACTACCTTTTTTTGAAGCAGTTAACAGAATGCAGTGTTTGTAAACACTGGTTGTTAAGTGAATCCATTATTTTTCAGCAAGATCATATATCAGTCACATGACCGCAGGAAACAGCAAATAGCCATAAATATGGGCCAGTTGCCAAGCACCCAAAATGCCATCATGTGACTATGCGGTGGGAGGGGAACCAATGGAACTTTGGAACCAGATTATAACTAACTACCTTTTGGTTGGTTTGGGGTAACTTTGACCAGTCGTTAAAACAACTGGTCGTAAGTCGAGGACTACCTGTACATTGCAAAAGGAAAACAAGAAGCTGATTAAGAACTGAATTACACAATTTAGTTTTAAACACAGGAATCTACAAAAGACAGTTATCCAATTTCCAGCAGATGCAGTGTTGTCTTGTACCTCCACACTTCTGCAGCATACCAGGTTAAACAGGGCTTGTAGGAAAAGATAATAAAGTCCATGCAGGGCCTCTGCATATGTACTGAATATATGTAAGAAAGCCCCTACGGGTGAAGATCACAGTAAAATTGATTCTGGTGCGTGGGTTCTCCCCTTCCCCAAAGCAGGAACCGCATAGCAAAGGTGGGCGCTTCTGCAGAACAAAAGAGGGTTCAAGCTGCCACGCAGCTTCGCTTGTTTATTTTCTGAGGAGCTCCCTCCGACGCTGGGAAAGCTTGAGGGGAGGGGGAAGAACCCTCCTACGCCCTACGCAGCCGAGAACAAGTCCGGCGACCGCGGGCGCAAGGCGGGAAGCGGGCAAAGCGAGTACCTGTCGGGGGTGCCCGTCTAGGCGGAGTTGGAGGCGCTCCGGAGGCGGGGCCCGAGTTGCTGGACGAGGTGCTGCTGCTTCTGCCGGGTCGACTTGACCGCCAGGATGGCCTGCCGGTTTTTGTATTGCACGAGTTGCAGCGTGATCTCGGCGTTCCAGCCTTGATCCTGTGGGCACCGAAAGTCGATCTCCTTCCCCTCGGCCATCACCACTGTGAAATACATGTACTTGCCCTTCCGTTCTACGCAGTCCACTGTCTTCATGGTGGAGAAGGGTAACTGCTTGATCTTGGCGGCGGCGACCGCCGTCTCTCCGTTGGCAGGAGAAGAAGCCGCCGCCGCCGGCTCCTGCTTGGGCGGGATAAGCAGAAGCCCTTCCTCGGTGAGGATGCAACGCTTCTTCTTCCAGAGCTGCAGCAAGCCATCGCTGCGTTTCTCCAGCACGCCCTCCTTCACCGGCTTGCCGCCGCTCTCCAGCATCCTCCCGCCGCTGCCAAAAACTTCGGAAAGGAGTGAAAAGAAGGCGCGCGAGAGAGAAGCTGCTCACGGACAAGCGGGATTTCCCGGGAAGCGCCGGAAAGGCTTCGCCTTCCGGCGAACGAAGGCCAGGTTTAACCGCGCGACTTCTGGTCTTCCCGCCGGTCTTTCCCCAGAAGCGCTGGAGGAAGCGCCCTCCGTCCCCCTCCCGTTGTTTCTGAAAGCGGCTTTTTCATTTCAGCTACACCAGGTTTTCGGGGGGCGGGGCGAAGGAAAGGCGGGGCGGGGCCTGCCGAAGAGGCCGGTCGAGGAAAGCCCGGCCGTTTCGTCCTCGCCTGCACGCCTTTAGGGGCGGGCGGAAGCTCGTGGATCGCTTTCCTCTTTTCTCCCCTCGGAAGCCTGCAGAGGTTCCCGGTCGCAACAGCGCCAGAGAACAAAGCCTTACTCCGGTGACAGCCGAGCCGTTCTCACTCCTGGAACTCAGGAGGCCCCTCAGGAGAAAGACCACTTTTGAGCTGTCACTGACGGCGGCAGGCTGGCGTCTTGGCTTCCCCTCTGGAACACGCAGCCTGCGGAGGCCGCGTGTTGGGAAGCCAACCCCGCTGCTCTGCCGATGCTCGCGGACACACCAACTGCTCCCAGAAAACACTCCCAGATGCTGCAACCATTCGGGGGCAGGGATGCCTGAACCCAACACGGAAAGCCTTTCGGGCGCGCGCATGTGTGTTTTAATGGTTATGAGAAATGCCTAATAAAAACCAAACCCAATGCTTGCCTGCTACTTGGATGTCATTCATACAAGCCAGAAAGCAACCACTCTAGGGTTCAAAACCTAAAAGGAACGTTCATTTCAATTTCTATTACATACTAACAGCAAAGTTATTTCACGTTTGTTAATAAATCATAGCATACACACAGCAGTATTACGAAGCATACATATAAGTTATTTCAGGGGAAAGGGACTTACTAGTCGATTATTGTTCAGAAGTTTACAACTGCAGAACGCTCATTACTACCTTTGGTACTACATCCCATTGCTGATGTAATAGACAATGTTCCTAGTTCTATAAATATGAAATGTACTTAATTTGTACTTATTTTGCCTGAATGTCAAAAAAAAAGTCTGGAGAAACAAGTGTTTGTTCATTAGTAGGATAACATTACATTTCAGATTGCTGATGTAAGAATCTCCAGGCCTTAATATTTCCCTACTTGTTTCATCACTCAACAATGCTATCTTCCCATGGAAATGGGCCCATTTTACACACACACACACACACACACACACACACACACGAATATATATATATGTATGTATGTATGTATGTATGTATTTGTTTTATTAGTTATATATATATATTAGTTATATATATATATAACTAAGGGGTTGCATTAATATGACATATATTTGAAAGCCTTGTTATTAGTTGTTAATATCCTTTTTGGAAACATAATCATTAAAAAGGTTTTGACTCATTTTCTTTTTGTACATGCTCACTATTCATTTCAATTTTACCTGTTTTCCTGAATTTATATGCCTATTCTTTTTGTACCCATTGTCTGTCCCTTTTTCCCATGTAACTTTTTTTGTTTTGGCTTCCCATTATTGAAATTAGAAACCATTAAAAACCATCAAGATCAGCAGCAACAACAAACAAATTTCAACAAGATGGCTAACCTGGGGTATGCTCCACCCTGCATCTCTTAGGACATATTGGGCCAATGTAAAATTCTGCACCTCACAATTTCCCATATTATAGTGCTGTAACAGCCTAGAAACAGTATTAAGAATTCTTGTGGAGGTAGGCAGACCTTGTTTGTGTCTGTCTGTGACCACATTCACTGCATGCCAAAAGATTCCTGGTCTCTTCAGAGATGCTGCCAGATGTAGTAATAGTAATAGTAGTAAAGTTGGAAGGGACCTTGGAGGTCATCTAGTCCAACCCCCTGCTCAGGCAGGAAACCCTACACCATTTTGGACAGTGTTGGAGCATTTACTGCTTCTGGAGGCAGGCTGTTCCACTGATTGTTCTTACTGTCATGTTTGCAAGCAAATATGAAATGTTGAACTGATATCTGGAAAACTAGGTTCAAATTCATCTTCAATTATGGAAACTCATTAAATGACCTTGGGCCAAGACCCCATCTAGGGTAACAGGATTGCAATTATTGGAGTGAGGGAGAATGAGGCAGAATAAAAAATTCTCCTAAATTTTTATCACTTTAGAAAACAAACCCATCTAACATTCAGAAAACTCTATTTCCATTATGTGAAGAAATGGAAAACTGCTGATACATCATATAAAATTATGTGCACAAAGCCTATGACAAATTTTAATTTGATATCAAGACACTATAGCACACGTACGCCTCCTAGTGTCAAGGTTAACTCTAAGCACATTTCTGATTTGCTTAATGGGATATATGTCTCTTCATCTGCTTCCCACTAACCCTGTTTTTTTTAATCCTTTTGTGACTTTAATTAAACCATGCAGTTTTATATATAAAAAAAAATTCTTAGCAGTTTTTTCTGGAAGTGACACATAACCGTTTAAGAAAACTATCAACATTCTAGACAATCTTAAATGAAAATTTAGGGTCATTTTACTTCATACTCCCACAAAAAGACAAAATTTTAACTCAAGCCACTCAAATATGACATTTCAAATATTTGAAATATTGCATCATAACCAAAGGGCATAAAATCAAACTGAAAAGTGACTTTTTTTTTTTTTTTTGCAAGTAGGCCTGGAGTTGTATCTCAGATCTGGCATCTTGGAATCACTTGCATACTATTGTATGCAAAACTTTACTGTATTTGTATTACAATCAATGTCTTTGGGAATGCAAGCTGATATGATTAGTACATAGTATATTTCTATGAATGAGTCTAGCCATAGCTTTAAAAAATGAGCATGGAGGTGAAAAATTCCTATCCATACAGCAGAAATAACAGCTTCCAAGCATTATTACAGGCTGTGTTCCCATTATTGCTGTCAGAATTTCTATCTACTACTCATCTTGGCAAAAATACTCTCAGAAATATTCTTTGGGCTCCTTGCATGTACCGCTTATTTAAATTCCTTCAGATTTTGAACAATATTTTAATCTGGTGACTGCGACAGCCTTCCAAAACCTTTCTATCTCTCTCCTCTGCATTTCTTAGTTGATTTGAAGGCTATGTTTCAGATCACTGCCTCACTGAAATATCCAATCTTTTTTCAGCTTCTCTTTGATCAATCTTCTCATGCAAATATAGCAGCTCCAAGTGTTTTGTCAGATTCTGAGGTGGTAATTAGCCAATGTTATTATTACTCTTTCTGAGAGCAGAAAGCTTGCATTTATATAAAAACACAAGATTGGTCAATCTTCTATTGCCTTGAATGTGCAATAATTTGACTATTTTGATTTCTGAACTGTTGAACAGAGCTATCACACTTAGAAAACTGAAAGCTCCACTGTAGGACACCTGCCTTCTAAGCCCAAAGCACATTTCTTTTTTTAAAAAAATAAGACAAGCATCTCTATCACAAACACAAATGTTTTCAAGTTTATTGCCAAAGATAAAAAAAGTCTGCTATTTTTTTTAATCATTCCTCCCATACATGTCAGAATGGGAAGACATTTGTTTTCTCAATAACCTTAAGTGTTCCACAGATGTGTTAATAAAACATATTATATCCTGTGATCCCATTATCTGAACCCAAGAAATTTCTATAGTTTCTTCTAACAGTTTCTAGATGATTTCTATCAATGGCATTGCAATCAAAAGTATAAAATAAGATCTTAAATTTCCAGAGCATTCACCAAAATGCCACAAAACTGGATAATCAGTACTTGGGTACGATAGTAATAACAAATCCAGATCCTAGGAAATTGAAAACAAAAAATTCCAGAAGATAACAAAATCCCCAAGAAAGGCAAGTCATTATTATTGGTAGTATAGTTTTGACATAGCAATTCTAATGTACTGTACATTGTTTCAACACTTGCCATGAAAGTAATTTTTTATTGTTACAATGTTGTCATTGTTAAGACTTACTTTCATTAATACCAGTCTCCATATAAAACAACCAGTTATAAGTCAAATTTGGGCCATACAGATCATCAGAGAAATAAAAACTAGTACTTTTTTTCTATCAGCTTGAATAGATTATGAAACTGAGAGTGTGTTTTAACAACTAACCAGGTATTACTTTATAAGCAATGGCTTACCTATCCAATGCTTCTCCAGAAACAAAGTTCCTCTCCAAATCTGTTTACAAAACAGATATGCAGGGCAGCTAACCTTTCTACAACTAGGAGTTTCATGTGTATTTTATTATTTTTAACTGAATGCCATGAATTTCAGCAATGTAAATCCTAGGTTCCTATAGATACAAAGATACTGCTACGGAACATAATCATTGTTTTTTCTGTAATTGGGTCATTCTACAGTACCACCAATTTTTACAAATCATTCCAAATTCTGCCTTTCTTCAATTCTGTCATTTGAGTGTTGATTTAGGTCTATTAGAAAAGTAGTTTGACTAAAGATTATTATTTACGCCAAATAGTCAAGTACGGATCATTCTTTTTAAGAAAAAAATGGTTATCATTGGTTTCACAAACAAGGTAATAATGACACATTTTTATAAAATCAATAAAATTAGAAGATCTGAAAGCGAACAAATTATTTTAAGAAATCAAGTTGCTTCTAGGCATCACTCAAGAATCATGTTAATGCTGTCCCAATGTGTTGCATTATTAGACTTTTCATCTAACATGACAATATTGATTGGAAACTGGCAGCAGTAGTTTGACACACCTAGATATAATCAGATTGCAGAAATCAGCTTTAAGGTTAGAGCTGTAAAGGTGACTTATTGCTAAACTAATTTTAATAACCTAAGGCAACATATTAATGGCGAGCATTTATGACTATAAGATTGGTTGAGGAAATTCTCCACCTTGCTGTGAGGAGGCATAGGTGCAAGTGACTGAATCAAGATACAATATTGTCAAAACACAACATTTATGCAAAATGCAAGACCTAATGAAATGAATTTATGCAGAAATACAGAATTTGACATATGTATATATGTAAAGATTGCTTCCAACAGTAAATGTTTTGCTTACAAGATTTTAAAATGTACACACAAGTACAACTAGTTTCTGAAAATACTAGGTTTATTCACATCCCAGTGATAAACAATCTTAATATGATGTTTCTAAAGATTTTTTGTAGGTCACCATCACAAAATACAAAAACCTAGAGCATAAACAAGCAAACAATTATGAACATTCAATGTGGTCTTGATGGAAATTAACAGTTGATATGGAAGTTATGAAATTTGAAACGTATGTCATTTCCTAATTAGTACAAGTCACTGCTATTTCTATGACAAAGTAATGAAGGCACAGCCAGTGCAAGCAGACTTAAACCCATTTAAACTACTGGGCCAAAAATACTTTGGTTGGTTCTCTGGGAAAGGATCTTTTCTAAACGAATAGTGGTCTCCGTCAAGAGTTCTGATATCTTCACAGCTGCAGTCTAATAGCTACATGACAACAGACTTCACTAGAACCAAACTATATATAGCAATGAATTAATAATTCATGCTTTAGGATTTACTGCATTCTACATATCGGCAGAAAAGTACTATTAAAATGCTAGGTACAAGGAACCTACATTTTAAACCGGTTCTGTCAGTTTGTTTTAACAAAATGTTTACTTAATTCTACCAAGATACAAAACATAAGGCTGTAAGTAACTAATAGTTGTATTTAGGCTATTACAGTGCAGATAATCCTCAAGGCCACATACACACTGTTTCACTGCTGCTTGCATTCTGCTGGGTTTTGGTCCTTCTGTTGAAGAAAGAAAAAGATACATCAGTGTTCAAACAGGTCTGCTACAGGAATTTACAGATTACAGGCAATAACTCTAAATGCAATTACTCAGGAAGGTATGAACTGGTCACATACCTTTGGATCATAATCTGGATCATTTTCTTCATCTGCTTCTTCCTCCCCTTCCTAAAACACATGTGTATATAAGTATATTTGGCCACATACAGCAAGACTAAAATTCCCCTCAGCTACTTTTTTCTATAACTTTAAGTTGCTGAAATCAATTTATTAAAGTTTATGAAATCCACAATAAAGCCTACCTCATCATCAGCTTCCTCACCTTCTTCATCATACTAGAAAGTGAAAAAAGATCAATCAGAAATGTATAAGCTCCGAGACCACAACTTTTAATTAAAAAAAAGCCTCCAATTAACAGTTATCTTCTGTAAACTTATTTAGCAGCTAGCCTTAAAATCAAAGTTAAGAATTTATAGACCTACTAATGATGATGAGTTACACTTCTCAGAATTCATTTCTAGCCATGCTAGTGGGCCTGCTGCAAGCTGAAACTCAGCAATATCTAAAAGGCAGCAGGTTCCCTCTTTGGTCTTAAGTCAGGGGTGTCAAACTGCCGGCCCGTGGGCCGAATGCATCATAGCAAAATCGTGCCCACCCATTGCCAGCAATGGCAAAAAAATTGCGATACATCGTGACACATCACGTGACATTGCAAGTTTGACACCCCTGTCTTAAGTAAAGGCAGGACTTACTTCAGAGTAAATTCATATAGGATTGTTTTGTAGAGATCGTTTCCTATCATTATTTTTAAGTAGATTTAAAGCCTTGAAAATAAAAAGTTCAAATACACAATTCAAGTTGAAACCAATGAAATGTCCTATTTTCCACATAAGCAAGATTAGCATATCTTTCACTCTGAGGGATATTTTTACTCTAAGGAAATGTCCAGTGGCTTTTAAAGTTTTTGAAGCAAAAGTGACATCATAATTGTTAAACTGAGTATAGCCATCTTAAGAAGCACAATGTTCTCTAAGATCTGTTTGCTTGTTCCAAATGTTTTTCCACTCTGATTCTTCAATTAGAATTCCTGCTTGTTATTGTGCAAAGTTTATCTACAGTTCTTTTTAATGGCAGGTTAAAGTATATCTTCATGCTAATAGGCTTGGCATCTGTCATACTGAAGAACAACTTAAAATTCTCTCAGGAAAAAGCACTAGTCATTCAGAATCCATTTTTATATTGTCATATGGTTATATCAGATCAAAAACTAAGCATTTCACAAATGGAACAAACTTCTGCATTATGGTTTGCTTCACACATCAGGTCAAAATCAACCAAGGTAGAATTTATAAAAACAGAAATTCTAAGGTAGAATTTATAAAAAAAAAAAAAAAAAAGCCATGCTATGCTTTACAAGACAAAATGGCAACAATCATACACCAGCAACAAGATATACAAGGCAAAAGCTCTGAATTATCTACCGTATTTTCCAGAGTATAAGATAACTGGGCGTATAAGACGACCCCCACTTTTGAGAAGATTTTCATGGTTTAGCAAGTTGTCTTATACGCCAGAAAATACGGGTACTTTAACTTTCTAATAAAAGTAATGTAAGTCCTAAATACATTAGCATTTCATTATATTTCATTGCTTGTTCCTCATCTGCTGAAGACAAATGTAGCTGGGTAACATCCCATAATAAGCATGGGAGTGCACTTGTGAAGCTTTGCAGTATATGAGGAACTGCCTCACCCCAATGGGACTAGCTGGCCCCTCTCATTCCAGTGGAAGCAGCCTAATTTGGATCTCACTGGTCAAAGAATTTCTGCTGCTGGGCTCCAGAACATTTCTGCTGTGCGCCCCCCCCCCCCAGAATATTCTACCATCAGAGGTGAGATTCCCCCCCCCCAGACACACAAGAACACAATCCTGGCCTTCTGGCAGAGCCAGAAGTTCCAGTTGACGGTGAAGCCAAAGTTGGGCTGGGGCCCCTGGTGCTGGATGCCCTGCAGCGGGGATGGCCCGATGGGATTGTCGGAGGCCGAGACTGCCATTTTGTAGAGGCCACTGAACACCCCCGTGTTACCGACGCTGTTGATCTCCATGGTGGAGTTGAGGTCATTCTTCTAGGTGCCGATCAGGGAGGATTAAAGGAGAGCAGGAGGGGGGAGGAAAGCGGGTCGCGGCGCTAGCCAAGCCCAGCTGTCCAACAGGTAGAGACTTTGGAACCATTTTCTCCATGCTCGACCGCTTCTTTGGCAACCTGCTGCCGTGGCTGGTGCTCTCGCTGTGCAGATGACAGAGCCTGCCAAAGAAGCGGCCGAGCACAGAGGAGGAAACACTGAGTGTCCGTCCGCTGGAGTCCCAGGGCTTCTGGTGCTCAGCGCGATGGCACCGGGTGCAGTCAACCCCGAGGAAGTGGCACCCTCTGCGCAGCCCGCTGGCTCCCACCAGCTGCTCCTGCCGCCCACCCAAGCAGAGGCTGGTGGGGGGGTTTCCCCAGGGGAGGAAAAGCCCCGCTCGCACCGCCTCCCTCCAGCGCCCTAGATTGGGAGGGGCAGGATCCCCGCCCGAGGGTGGACGCTCCTGCGAAATCGCTGGCCTTCTGCGAGCACTGAGCAGCAATTTGGCAGCAAGGGGGCGGGGGCACTTCTTCTTGGGAAGCCCCCGCCGCTGACCCAACACAGACATTCTTACTCAGCTGGCTCTCCGCCAGTGTTCCTCTCCCGCCATTGGTCTGCCAACGCTCCAACCTCGCCCCTTCCTCCCGGCTGTTTCTCGGAGGGACACTTTTCTAGGGCTATTTGGCTGTGTGGGACACTTAAACTCTCATCCAGACAGCCAATCCCCATGCCAAAGGCTGAGGAGCATGGGGCGCAGGATACGGGGGAGCTTGCTTTGATGTACCATATTTTCTGGCGTATAAGACGACTGGGAGTATAAGACGACCCCCAACTTTTGAGAAGATTTTCATGGTTTAGAAAGTCGTCTTATACGCCGGAAAATACAGTACCTTATGGAGCTTAGATATATCAATATCATTCTTCCTCAAAACTATTCCATTGTAATTTTCAAGTGGCATATTTCCATATCTGTAAGAATTAATGATATCTGAGCACCTTTTATCCCCAAAAATCACTATTAAACTCTACCACAGAATACAACTATCAGGAATGTTTGATGTACTTCAAGGTGTGCCAAATTCTGTATTGAAATAGGAAGCAAGTTTCATCCTTCCAGAAACTGATGCAAGGTGTAGTTTTGAATTATTGGCTAAAATTAATTTAAATTTGGAGCCCTTCAGCTTCTATGATTTTTCAAAATGATTTCATATCCTCCTAGTCTAATGGAGCAACTTCAATTTCAGAGTTTTAAGGCTTATCATCACAATACTTGACAGCAAACTGAGCTCAACAAAACTCAATTAGAAGCAAAATAATGAGTAACTAAGATTGATCTTCTGAAAAATTGTTACTTTAATTTAAATGCATATAGTTGCAATTTTGTCACTAAATTCTCTTATTATCAGCCCTTAATTTCATTTGTTTTTATTTCTTTTCTATGTTCTGCGTATCGCTGTTCAGCCTGAAAGGGAATGTAAGGTGGATATATATGTATGCATATTTACTTACAGGCCAATCTAGCTTTAAATCAATTTAATATAATAATTTTGATGTAGATGAAATTAAAACACAACTTACATCATCGTCATCATCTTCAATGGCTTCTCCTGTAAAATACAATACGGATCGTGGAACTATGCGCTCCCGTAGAAAATGGCCAATTTCAAAATCAGCTGCAAGAATTGCTTCAGCATCATCATCCTGCATAAGTAAATTAATAAATATAGTGCCATTATCTGTACTTACTAAATGCAAATATACCATTTTATTCAACATCTTTTAGTGTCAGCAGCATTTTCTATTCCCTTTCTCAATCTTGGCAACTTTAAGATGTGTCGACTGCAACTCCCAAAATTCCCCAGCCAGAGTGGGAATTCTGGTTGAAGACTTCTGGGAATTTAAGTTCATACTTCTTAAAAGTTGCAAAGGTTGAGAAATACTGGTCTAGTCACTTTACTGTATAATTAATTAATTAATGTTTTTTAAAATCATTTATTGGCCTACCAAGAAATATTGAATTCTTAAATTCACAAAATATTTATGATCAAATTTGATTCTGGATTCTCCTGGCAGTGAACCTGCCGTAGTCTACAAAAGTGTGTTAATTAAAGTTTGTACTAATCAATAAATAACAATAAAACATTACTCAAATCATTACAAATACTAATCTAATATGAAGTTTATAGCAAAAAAGAAATGTAAATTTATAAGTTTTATAAGTTTTCAAATTGTATATACACGTGTTTAGAGTGGGTGAAAACTTTATATAAATGGAGAGAGAGTTTCAGAGCATTAAAGTCATCCCAGAGAACACCTTCCTTGTAGCTGATTTTAGTGAGGTCTCCTTAGCAGCAGCATCAGTTGATCAGATATAAATTAATTCTTACTAAAAAAAAAACCAAAACCCTGCAATACTGTATGAATTCATATATGATGACTTTTTTATTGTATGGTTACAATACTTTTTCCTTAAGTTATACTTTTACATTATCTTTTGGACTCTCCCACACATATTTTTATAAGTTTTAACTCATAAGTAGATAATATGTCGTCTGTATTAGCTTCTTTCATACATACAGTATGGGCAATGCTGTCTACATGTACTTACATAAATGGCAAGTAATATCACATTTACTTCCTGGAGTACTAGGAATTAAGAGGTGTATTTTCATGAAAGAATGGCCAAAGACTGCATGAATCCTTCACATTAACAATCTAATCAATCTGTTTTTAGGAACTTGTGATAATTTAATATTGTTGTATTTATTGGTGTGCATGTATGGGTATTGATATGTATGTATGTATATGTATATACAAGCAAATGGATAGACTTCCGGTTCCAGATCGCAGCGCTGGCGGTCGCGCAGAGTCGTCTCTTCGCCAGCCGGTTTCTCTTCGCCGGTAGACCCTTAACAGGGTCAAAAGTCACCCTGGAGGGGTGACTATCGATGAGGAGGACTCTCATCGACCGAGGAAGGGCGGCAGCTCCTTCCGCGGTCCGAGGCAGTTCCTTGGGGCCAACGGAGAAAAGATTGGCCATTAATATGGCCGATCACTTAGCCGCACCAGCCGAAAGTCAGAAGAACATCTAAGAAGATCCGGGTGAGACCCTTCCTTCCCTCTCTTTACCCTAACTATCTCCCTGTAAAAAGCTTTTGGAATTATTTCCCTGCTTTGAGAGAGCAGATTCTGTTTACTGGGGAAAAAGAGCTCTGCAAACAAAGACAAAATAATTAATTTTTACTGACTATTTTTATTCTTGGATACTCTGGGGTCCCGAAAAAATTCCCACTATAGAACTTTACCACTCTACTTTTTATTACTCTATCTACTTATTAAGCTGGAGAATATTGGTGTGTTTTTTTTCTTAACTGGATAAAACTGTATTGGAATCTGGAAAACAGATTTTGCAGCCTACATCTTGTGGCGAAAGCTGACACTGCAATTGTATTTCCTCTTTGATTTTGAGGCTGGGTTTGACCTTTAAATTATTATAAAAAATAAAGGATTTGAAACAGCTGGGTGGTGAAACTGCCTACTAGAAACTGTGGAGGTGGATATTGGCTGACTGTTAGTAAACATAGCCTCCACTAAAAGGCTAAAAGATTATTTCACCACTGAAATGGAGGAATTTTAACTATAAGCTTATATTGGAAAAAATCTTAGAGGTTGTGGAGCAAATGAACTCTAGGATGAATACCAAAGATGATATTCCAGAACTACAAATTGAACCTCAAATTTTAACTGATCAACTTATAGGCCAAGGAATAATAGAGAGGAACAGATCAACTTCAAAGAGGCCTGTATGCAACAACACGCACAATTTAATGAGATGGAGGAATCTCACCCACAACTGAACTATAAACTTATACTGGAAAAAATTTTTGAAGCTACTGAGCAAGTGAATTCCAAAATAAAAGCCCTTGCCCCAAAACTTCAAACTGATTTCCAGACTCCAATTGACTACTTCATAAGTCAAAAAACAACAGAAGAGGAACAAATCAACAAAGAGGCCATTACACAATTCTACGTACAACTCATTGAGAACTTTGACGACCAAAGAATGACTTTAATTAAAACACTTGTAATGCCAAAAGCAACAGGAAGTGATTTGCAAACACGAGGTATTGAAAACTGTGATAATGTGGATAACCAACTAGTAATCACAACATTGAACAAAACTGATCATACTACTCAGGCGATACTGGAAGAAGAAGAGAAGTACGACCAGACTGAATTGTTGATAAACACTCCTAATCAAACACTGAGATTTGATGATATAGAGGCTCTTTTATGGAAACCTGTCTGGCACAAAAAAGAAAGCCAGAGTTAGATTCAAAAATGAGACTTAAAATTTTACTTAATAGGTTAAAAAGGCTTTTAGAGATTTTGACTGATTTTAATACTAACTGAGATGAATTACTGACTAGATCAGTGATGGCGAACCTATGGCACGTGTGCCAGAGACGGCACTCAGAGCCCTCTCTGTGGGCATGCATGCCATTGCCCCAGCAGAGTTCACCAGAGTAGGGAGCATGTGGTGTTTGGAAGCAACAGGGCAGGAAGTGAGCGAGCAAGCGGCATTGGCCCCCCAGGGATCCACACTCACCAATCTGCCGTGACCACTGCAGCCACGCCTACCTAGTGGGCCACGCCCCCCCGAGGGCGCCACAATGCTGATGCAGCCCTGGCACTTTGCGATAAATAAGTGGGTTCTGTGTTGCAGTTTGGGCACTTGGTCTCTAAAAGGTTCACCATCACTGGACTAGATTATAGTTTGTAATTGTAATAAGGAAGAGGTTTTATATAAAGAGTTATTAGGATAAGAAATAGAACATATATGTGAAATATAGTAAGAAGGTATCTTTTGGAACAATATGTTTGTTTTAGGAATGATAATTATTTTGATGGGATTTAAATTTTACTTAATGGGTCAAAAAGGCTTTTTAGAGATATGGATTGATTTATAGAATATATATCTGAAATATATTGGGAGTAATATTTTTATTTTAGGTATGATAATCACTTTGCAATCGAAGGAGAACAAGAAAATGGATTGTGATAAAGGAAGACATGGCATTAATAAATGAGTTATTAGAATAAGAAATAGAATTTACTTGGGTAATGTAAGAATGTAACTGTATAATAATATGTTTATTTTAGACATAACTATTATGTTATGAAACAAGGGAATTTAGGGATACCCAAAGTGTAAATAATATGTTTATTTAAGGCTAAATTGGATTATGGTAACTGTAAGTTAGTAAAGCTTAAAAACAGGATTTGGACTTATATAGGTGAAATGCTATTGATAATTTTTTTTGACTGATTGAACTTTATTTAGAAGTGTATTAATTTGAATATGTTATATTAATTGAGGGAAATAGAGAGGGAATCTTTAAAGAATTAACCTGAGCCATATATGTACAATTTTGTTTTTGAATGATTAATTACCCCATCACCACGTTGTTTCCCAAGCACCTTGATGTAAAAATTAAAAAACTAATAAAACTTGTTCAAAAGAAGCAAAGGGATACATTTATTACAATGAAAAAATTTAAAAGTGATGTTTTCATTCATAAAGACAATCACTGTGAAACTTACCAAGTCTCCACTTTCAGGAACTGAAATGAAAAAAAGATGTAACATTATATATTTAAGAATGCTACATTATTTAACTGCAGTAACTACCTGAAGTACCCACCTTTTGTTTCCATGTAACAAAGACAAAAGATGTCCCAAATGCCATTATATAAAATATCATGTAGCCTAATCTGCTAAAGTTAGATGAAACAGAGGCACTGCTAATTGATGGGTATTAGAATACAGAGTAGTATAAATGGGACTGCACTCCTATTTAAAAATCAAGTGCAGACAAAGAATCTTTAATTAAGCTTTGTTCTCAAATGTCTCCATTTCATGGGGATATTACTTCCATGTTATGCTGACTTTCAGTAAGTTTCTGTAATGCAGATTCTTATGATCATTTGTAAAATCTTAAAATGGTTTGGAACAAAATGCTTGAAATCCTGCTTCCCACATAAGCAGTTCCACCTCTTCAGTTATCCTTGAAGCTTTGTTCCATGATGTTCTGCTTTCAGGATGGTTTAAGCACAAGTCAAAGACTTCTCAAATATGGTCCTGCAGGCTATGGAATATTTATTTCTAGAAAACCTTTCAAGTGTCAAAGCCAACCACCAAAACATTCTTGATTTACTATACAGTAATTTTATTATTTAACTCGATGCTACTTCAATAGCTGTGTTTTTTTTTCATTTGTGACATTATAGGAATTTTAATCTATGTTCTTTTTTATATATAATGTAAATAAATTTAAGTTTACCTTCTGGAGGACTGAAAAAATTGAAGAAGGAATCATTGGAAACTGTTTTTGTCACTGTTCTAACTGTTCCATGCCCCTTGTGCTTTTGTTTCTTCTTTATAGTTTTCAAAGTAACATTTTTCCCCTTTTTCCAGTCTATTTGGCACCTATGGAAAAACTGTTATGAAACCAAGTACATACATACCTATATGTTCACTTTAACTATTATAGTCCTGGCACATAGTATCATACAACAACCACATAACTAAAATGGATCCTGAATACATGAGTAATTCAACTGTATGAACAACAAAGTTAATTTAGATTTCTCAGAATGTAATTCTTTAATACTAAGGAATGACTAATGTAGTACATCTTTCTTTTTCTGCACACAACATAAAATAGATTTTCTCTCTCTGGAAATTTCACATACATACTAAACAATTCAGAATTCTGCAATGTATTCAATCTGCCATAAAGTTACGATGAAAGCACACGTAACAATTCCTCTATACATTTCCTACTTAATACTGCAAAATGAAAAATCTACCATCCCAGTCCAAAACAGATGTTTGAATCCCCAATGAAACTATGGCATTCTGATAATCTGGCAAGTGGTGCTGAAAAGTTCAGCATCTAAGACAATTTAAATGGTTGCCTTAGATATATTGCACTATATCCACCACTCTCCAATGCAGCACAATGAAATATAAACACTTTAACCTAGCATACCTAGTAGAGAGCTAGGTTAGGAAAGATTAACCTAGGCACTCACCCAGGAATAAACAATAATGATAATGAAGTTAGAACAGATGCTATGAGAAAACATCTTCCATTATTCTTATAAATTTCATCTAATTCAAGTACTAGGAGAAAAAATAAAGCAAAAGATTCACAGTAACCTGAAAGCAAGTTAAATGGGCATTTTAATTGCATTAATTATGTAAGAATTTAGTGTGCAAGGTTATAACACAGAAAATGTAAGTGCCCTATTTCTTAACATTGCTATTTCCAACACTAGGGTCGCTAAGCACAGAATATGTTTATTTTCTTTAGAGCAAAAAGCCTATTCGTATGCCCATTTAAAGGTAACTTACTGTACTGATGTCTGTACATTCATTTTATAACATTAAAATATGTTCATACATACTTATGCCTGCTTCAGCAATAGTCCTATTTTGGATGGTTCTCATTTAAGAATTGCACTTTACTTTAAACAGCTATGATTTGTAATCTTAATTGTTGAGATCTCCTGGTCTTAGAAACTTTAGTTACTATCTATTTGCTGATGTAGGTATTTATTTGCTTGCTTCAAATTTATCCTTTATGAAGCAATGCCTGCTTTAATTTCCAATGATTCTGGTACTCTTTTAGCAGAGACCCTTTTAGCACTGCTTACAGCTCTGCATTTGATACTCTGGCTTATCTTGTTATCAGCTGTATTTGTTTAGTGTGATGGTTCCTCTTTTTGCTTGGTGTTATCAGTTTCTTGTTCTATACCTTTTGCTTCTATGGGTAGTCCTTGACTTACAGCAGTAACTGAGTCCAGAACTAAGATGGTAAGTTATGCTAGTGTTAAACGATCATCATGTGACCATGACAGATTTTACCTTGGGGGGGAGGTCATTAAACAAATGCCATGGTCATTAAACAAATATTGTAGTAGTTAAATGAATGTCACAGTCATTAAGGACGCCCAATAGGGTTTTTTTCTGGAAACTGGAAGTAAACTCCTGTTTCTGGCAAAAAACATAAATTGTGATCAACAGTCATTAAGCAAACAATCGTAAGTTGAAGATTACCCATATATAAAATTGCAACCTTTGCTCTTTGAGTTTTAGCAAACACATGGTTTCTGGCCAAGATAACATTAATGGGTGATCAATAGAAACAATGGTAAATTAATTTCTACATCATACAATTTAGTTTTTCTTCTCTTCTTGTTCTCATCACCCATGCAAACTGGAGAGATTGGGAAAGAAGGTAATACAAGAGAGTAAGCAAGCACACAATGGGGAATACACTGAGTTGGTTGTGCAGTGAGCTTGCTGCTGCCAGCACATTGTTTTCAATGTGCATTCCCTATTGTGTGTCTGTTTACTTTCTTGTAATTTTTTCCTCTCTAATCTTTCTGCAAAGAGAGGAAAGAAAAACAATAAATCAGACATAGTACAATGTGTACTGAATATAATGGCAATCACCTGACTGAGGAACAGCTCAAATGTACCTTTTAACGGTCAATGAATGAGGCAGTTGGTAAACATCAACTACCTGTGAATAATTAAGTTACATTAATCTTTGGCTTGACAGCATTTGGGACCAGAATCACCAATTGTAAGCTAGGTGGTCATAAAGCATGTCACATGACTATGTCAGTGATGGCAGTTCTGGAAGGCCTGGTTGCCATCGTTAAGTGAGGACCATAACTTCCTAGTGGCTTCCCCACTGACTCTATGGAAAGCCAGCAGGGAATATTGGAAATCGCAATCATATAACCTCAGCTCAATGTCATTAAAAGCAAGCTGGGCACAAAAAACCCAGATTGTAATCAAGTGACTGTAAGGACATTGCAATGACTGGAACTATCTGTTCAGCCCAATCACAACTTTAAATAGTCACAGAATGAATGACCCAAGGACTATGTGTATTTATTTAAATATTTTATGAGGCCATATAGCTTAGTTCTTGGCCACTTATTATACAAAATTACACTTACCCTATGCAACCCATAATTTCTGGTCCATCGAAGGAGAAAGGATCAGAATCATCAGGTTCTGATCTCATTCTGTATGTTTTTGTTACTACTTCATTTGTGAAAAATTCATTAGGTTCAAAGTGGAATTCTAAAGTAAAAGTCTTTGAAAAAGTACAAGTTAGAATAAGTATACATAATTATAATCTGAATCACAAAACAAAACTCCATTATGTTCTTTATTAATGTTATTGTTTTATCCAAGGATTCTGCCTTTGAAGTGATCAGTTCTTAATGTTGTTGAATTGTAATTATAATTATAATTGTAATTATCCAAGAGCCATAAATGGAGGTTGACAACTTTTATATTATTTTGCACAATATTCTTATTTCTTCAAGGAACACAAAGTCCATCTTCCTTCAATCTTTCCCAAACCCCACAATAGGCCGACAATTATGGCTGAATAGGAATTCTGTATCTATTAAAGAACTAGTTCTCCCCTCTGTGTTATCTCAAAGAAATACTAGTTTTACATGCTATTAATGTCATTTTAGAGAACTTACTCTGAAGAATTCCCTATAGTATAATTTCAATAGAACTCTCACCAAAATAAATTATCTGTATATGCTTAACTAGGTAGTGAACTTATAAATAAATTCTTTGAAATCTTTTTTAGGCATCCTTATGGGCTGAAGATTAAAACGTTCAGCAACATAGGAACCTTGGTTAAAAACAGGCTTTTGCTTTAAACTGATATAATGCTAATCATAATTAATGGGCTGGTCATTAGAGATAGACATTTCTGATTACTTAACACTTTAATTTAGGTGTTAATCCAAAAGAAGTTTTTACTGTTATGAAATACCAAATTGCTACACACATCCTGTGTTTAATTTTGCTATGAAGTCACTCAGGTCACATACAATCTATTGTGACTCAAGAAACACACATTCTCTATAGCAGCACCTGCCCTCTGAAATAAGCCTCTCCCCCCCCCATACAAAATGGCCCCAGCCTGTTAGGGTTTTGGAGGACTGTAAAAACCTGGCTCTTCACTCACATCTTTGGCAAAGAATATTGTGTTTTCTTAGATGATGTGGTATGTTTCTCTTTCATTTCTGTCTTGTTCTTTTCATCTTTGTCATCTTTTCTTCTTCTCTTTTATATCTGAATTTTTTTCCTTATTTTTAATGCTTTTATTTAGGAGCCATCCAGAGTCATCGGGAGTCATTTAGTATACAAATTTAATAATAATCCATATAGAAGACATATTTTTAACAATACAAGCTTACCATAGGTTCTCCAGCTTCTGAAAACTTCACTTTAATATCTTTTAAATGCTTCAGGATAGGTTCATCATGTTCCTATATATGTAAAGTAAAACTGCAATACATTAGGCAATGCTTTTTACACTTTTAATGCAATTACAAAGTAGGAAATAATATGGTAATATTAAAGAGGAAAATTAGGAGCAACATATTACATTTAATATCAAACCATTTTATTGTTAGTTTCACAGGTGTACTAATATATATTTATCATAAATATTTATTTCCCTAGGACATAAAAAAGACTTGTGCAGAAATGAAGAATTTATCATATACTTAGTGCTATATTTCGACCAAACATGAGACATGCAAACTGAAGAATCCCAAAAAGGATTACTGATGGAACATTACACAAAGTAAAACTACAGCCCAGAAGAAATATTTTAACGATGTCCATGCTACCTAGTTCTGAATAAGATAAGTTCTAATTCTTAAAGTTTAGTTTATCATCAACATTTCAAATAATTAAAACTTTACTCTCTCACCTGAACCATATCACTAAGTAAATCGACATTCTTGAATACTGTCAGCCAAAATTCAGGAATTCCTTTAGGATCATCTTTTTCTTGATCTTTTTTCTCCTCTTCAAGCTTGGCCTTCTCTTTCATTTCCTCCTTGTTAAAATTAGTAAGTTAATCTTTCTAATATTTGAGTGCTAAATACCTATCAGGTTTAGTGGTATACAGTCAGCAACAAAGATTGTGTAAACATTGTTTTATTTAATTAAAATATTTATATACTGTTTCCCATTAAGAAACATCTCAAAGAGGTTTACAAAGTATATTTATATATCAGACAATAAGCTACAATGTCCTTACTTTTAGGCTACATGTTTTCCTACTACTGTTGAGAGGTATCAGAAATTTTCCACCGCAAAAACTAAGTTTAAAAAAACTTAGACTTCAGATTCCCCTCTTTACAGTAACTTTCTTATTTCCTATCTTTATATTTATGAAGACAGTAAAAAACAGGAGGTCCCTAAAGACCATGCATAACTTACTGAATACAAAACTAATTTTCCCACCAAATGTAACCTTCAATTGGTTTTAATCTAATCTAATTCACTTCTCTCCTGTTAGTTTCAATGGGAGGGAATTTGAACAAGGAAACAAACAATATAAAAGAAATAAAAATCCACTGCTCCATCCCTTCTGCTTCATAATGCAAACACAAAAGGGCTTTAGAGTACCTTCCTATTAGTGATCCCAGGAAATAAGGCAGGACTGTCCTTTAAGTCTACTTCCAATAACATATAAGTACTCACTGAAATTTCTTCTTCCGTGTCTGTTTTCCACTCACATTCTTCTTCCGTAGGTTCATAAACAGCATTGATTATTTCACTTCTCTGGAAGATCAAACCATCGTTCTTTCAGATTACCATTTAATATAACCCAATACCTTTTATAAAGTGGTAAACCACAATTCTTTTTTGGGAAATAAAAACTACAAAATTAGAAAATCTATAGGAATTTCAGGCACTCCCATTTTCAACATTATATAGTAAAAGCATACATATTACCTTGTCAAATAAGGGCTGATAAAGAGTAGCATATTTCCTTTCCAATTCATGAACTTCTTCATAAAACTTTGCTTCTATCTGTGCACATTTAACTTGAAGATTCTTGAGTGCATTTACTCGTCTTTTAACTACTTTAGGCAAGCTGTGGGGAGTGGAAGTATATTGCATGATTACACTAACAATAATTCATTTAAAAATAAAAATGTCAATAAAAATGTTGGTTGAAATGTATAATTTCTAGCAAATGCAGCCTGTATATACAAAAATATTATTGTGATACACCATTCCTTTGCACAATTTCAGGAAAAAAATTACAAACTTAGCTTCATTTTATGCATTACAGGACTTGAAAATTGAGATTAAGCAGTTATCTATAATCTTTATATAGTTTTATTAAATATAGCTTAACTTTACTGTTCTATTAACACATTATTGATTTGTCTCACTTATTATTACACTACCTAGAGTAGATTTGAAACAAAGTGACAAATTCAAAACAATTTAATTTCTAGAAAAAAATTATTCTCACAATGTTTAAATTTTAAAAAGTTATATGAATCTAAAATTGACATTAACTAATGTACTTTATAATAAAAGATTATCAGCACTAGACAGGATGCTATGTTAATACTACAGAAATGCTTTTGGTGATCAACATTACTAATCCTATAATCAATTAAAAATATTTACTTAATGCATGCATATACTGATTACAATGGAAATTTTGGGCTCAACTGCGGTCCTCTCTGTAGACTGTATGACGTTCATGGAGCAATCCTAAACATGTAAACTGGTAACAAAACTTGGTTCATGGAACCATGCTCCTGTACTCAATAGCTAATGCAAGAAGCACTGATTTGTGAGTCACTGATCAAAATTTCTTTCTGTAACTGTTTGTTTATATTTCATATTTCTGAACCTTTTTTAGAACATTTTACCCTAAATCCATAATAATAACACTTGTGTTCATTGCTGTGGAATTCCTATAATATTTTCCCTTGGCCATCTACAATATATTATTTATGGCTTTGGGGCTCTAAAGAACAATTTTTCACCAGTGATTAATAAAGTAAGGGCATGTATTGGGGATACTGTTCTTCACGCTCACACATGCCTATCTTCATTTTCCTAATGAATATATGCAGCAATACTCTTCTTTCATGATAAAAGTTGCCAATTTCTAGCTCTTCAATAATGAGAACAGAGAAATTTAGGACACCTCAGCAGACTCTATTTTTTATTTCAGTCACCACTGGACCATTACTCTCTTTACTCACCAACATTTTTGTCTGTGGAAACATATTTTAAGAAAACATTTAAATCCCAGTTTATCAACAGAATGCCCAGCAAAATTTGGGCAATAATTTATAAAAAGGGGATACCAAACCTGCATTCTTACTTGTAAAATCCATAGCAATAAAATTATAAACAGAATTACAAAAAAATACAGGTCCTATCAAAGATCACAATGCAGCATAGCCCTCTCCCAAACTATCACAGAATCATTTGATACAGTATCAGCCCCTTAAGGAAAGGACTCAAATAACACTCAACATGCAATGTTTTATACAACTAAGCTTTCAAATGTAAGAAGAATTCTTGCTATTTACTAATAAGTGAACCAGCTAATTACATCCCTACCTGCTATTCAGAGGAAAAAGACAGACAAGTAGTAAAGTTGCATAACAAAGCAAAATGCTTTTAGTGTGATAAATATAGCAAAAAGGTATCATGGCAAAGTGCTATTTCTAATTAAAACTGAATAGAGACATAGGATGAGGGTAGTGAGTAAAACAAGTTAAAATTACAAGATCTTAAGAGAATAGAAGTACTTCTTTAGAAAAACTGAGTCTGCAATTTTAGAAAGATTTTAATAGATGGTTCTAAGGCTAGAATCTTCCAAGGAAAGAAATAATGCTTTACTTGAATTGATTCTGTCAAGAAATGTATCTCCCACATGTAAACAATTACATCAGATCTGTTCAATTAAGACATGCAAAATATACCTGCAAAGTCATTTAAAGTCAAGTGAACATGCAAAATATTAAACACAGTTCTATGTGTTATCCTTGTTAATTTAATTATCTTTAACTGGCATAGCTGACACACTATATAATTTTTAGTATTGAGTTACTTGTAATAAAAAGCAAGCTTTTGTAACTTCTCAAAAAGTATAGTATTTCATTGAAAGCAGCATCACTAAACCCAGTAAGAACTTACTGATCTTGGGTCAAGGACTTTTCAGATTAGCAGAGGTTACTTAAATATGCTGTGGGAAAGCAAGCAAGCAAGATCACAGCACATCTGAGATCAAATATGGCCAGGAAAGTAACCTGTAAAGATCAAAATGTGTCATGCATAAATGTATGTGTTCAGATAAACAGCTTCCAATTCCATCACCATAGGAAACAATTGGAGGAAGACATGATTATTTCAGTTGATTCTATATTTTGTCATCCCACCTCAGCGATGTCTCATGTTAGGATTCTATTATTTTTATGAGATGGGTTAGGCTGAGAGAGAATGACTGGCTCAAATTGTTGTCAGCAAAAATGAGCAGGGAAGAATACTGTGTATGTTTGCCACCTTGAGTTGCATAAGAAAAAAAGGTTGGGATAAAAACCCCCCCAAAAATAGGTTGGGATAAAAATCCCCCCCTATTTGCAGCAAGGGAAAAAAGATGTGTTGAAAAAAAAGTTCAACACACACAATCTAAAACAGCCCATTTTAGCTGAGATGTCGTAGTCCAATCTTTCAGACATTGCTTCTAGGCCTCTCAGATAAGGTCAAGTGTAGTGTAACAGTTTTACTCCAAACATGATTATATAATTGTCACACTTGAGAAAAGTTTCAAGAACAAAAGCTTGACTTTATCTGAGGAAAGGGAACATCTAGAAGTCCCCTATTATGGTATTGATGAGTAAATTGTCCAGCACAATAACAAAGCATAGGAGTATCCATCCATGACCTAAACCAGGACAAGTCTAGAATGACCTCACTCTGACCAATAGCCTCATACCCTACTGCTGTTCTGTCACCTTTTATTCTGATAGGCAGTTCCACAACTACATAGAATATATTATTAACCTTGCATATCCTTGCAGAGCCATGGTGGAGCAGCGGTTAGAATGTAGTACCACAGGCTACTTCTGCTGACTGCGGCTGCCAGCAGGTTGGCAGTTTGGTTCTCACTGGCTCAAGGTTGACTCAGCCTTCCATCCTTCCAAAGTCGGTAAAATGAGGACGCAGATTGTTGGGGGCAATATGCTGACTCTGTAAACTGCTTAGAGAGGGCTGTAAAGCACTGTGAAGCGATATATAACTCTAAGTGCTATTGCTATCTTGAAATAGCAACTCTCCCCACTTGATTCTCATTACAAAAGGGCAACAGATGGTGAAAACATGCAAAGAGAGACAACTTTGTGATGTAAGAATGAATAAAAAGTTTGGGGAAATGTTTTATTATCACTTAACATTTTCAGATTTTGGCGTTAGAGTAAAGGAAGAAGGGATAAAATAATGAAGACCTGGAAAGCCCAGAAGTACTCTGTTCTTTATCCATCTACTGATGGATAAAGATATGCTACCCATTGTTTATATTTGTACTGCCTAATAAAGTTACTGCGCTGGCTATAATATAAGCAAAATATTGATCTGGACAATGCAGCAGTTGCATCCATTTCTTAAATACAAAGTATTATGAAATGTCTGCATTCTGAGAAACACAGATATTATTTTACACAAAATGAATAACACTTTTCTATTTCAAGTAAAGCAACAGAAGCAGCAAAGTAGAATAAAAATTTCAAAGAAAGCATTATGTTCCACAAAAATCAAAGAAAACAGGAAGCTGCCATGTAATTGTAATGTATTTAATTACAGATTATACAAACTTGTAATTGTTATATCTCTATATGCACCCACTATCTTTCATAAAGAAAATCACATACTTTTCTTCTCAACATTATTAGTGGAATCCTATATAGATAACTAAAAAATTCTCACTGAGCTAAATACTTGTTTCCAAGAAAGTGTGAATAGGACTGCAGGTTGTTCTTTTCTAAATCATCAATTATGAAAGCTTCTCTGAATCAGATTGCAGGTAGCCCTCAACCTACAACCATTCATTTATTGACTGTTCAAAGTTATACTGGTACCAAAAAATGTGACTTACAATCAGTCCTAGACCAACACAGTGTCCCCATGGTTATGGGATCAAAATTTGGTTGCTTGACATCCAGTATATATTTAAGTGGTGCAGAGTTCTGGGGTCATGTGATTGTCACTTACAACCTTTCCAGCAGGCTTCTGGCAAACAAAGTCACTGGGGAAAGCCAAATTCTCTTAAAGACCACATGATTCACATAACCCCAGAGATTTGCTTAACAACAATGACAAAAAAGGCCGTTAATTTGTGCGTGACCCACTTAACAACTGCTTTCCTTGTACTTGTCGAATGCACAATTTAACTACACATACAAGACACATTCCATTCATTATTTTGCCAAATGATTATGTGGCATTACACACACACAAAAAATAATTGATCAAGGAATAAGACAGTAAAATAATATACTGTAATATACCTTTCTATATATCCTGTAGGTGTCCCCACCAAGCCATCAAGCCTTTCCTGGAGGGCTGCAAGAATCTGAGGATTCTGCATCATTTGTACAGTTAGTTGGCGTGCTGAACAAAACAGAACAGATTTTTTAAAAATCTTATAAAATATTGTTACCCTTGTATCTGTTTTAATAAATAACACAAAATAAATAATTGTCCCCTCTCTATATGCTCACTGATTTAAGGTAATTAGATTATAACACTATATTCATTGCTAGACAATAATAGCAAAAGAAATTACTCATGTAATGCCTCTTAAACTCTGCAGGCTAGTTGAAAAAATAAACATATATAATTATTATTACAATATTTCATTTTCAGGTTATGTAAAGTACAAAAAGTTAGAAATACCGTATTTTCCGGTGTATAAGACGACTTTCTAAACCCTGAAAATCTTCTCAAAAGTCGGGGGTCGTCTTATACGCAGGAATATATGGGTAGCTGTTCTCTGAATTTAAAACCAATCTGCCCCCTAGTGGCCAGCCCTATTTTTTTTTTACAGAAATAAGCACTAACAGGTCAAAGCTTTCTAGCAAAGGAATGGAGCTCCTATTGTGCTCATTCAATATTGTACTGTATTTTCTGGCATATAAGATGACTTTCTAAACCCTGAAAATCTTCTCAAAAGTTGGGGATCGTCTTATACGCCCAGTTGCCTTATACGCCGGAATATACGGTATTAACAAAAAATAAATTAGGGCATGTGTTTAAAGATAAGAAAACATTGTTAGAATTCATTTATACTCTCACTATTCATTATACTTCTACTCTTCTAAAAGCATTCCAGCTTCTACCACTTCTAAATGCCTCTTCATCCCATAACTTTTCTCAACTCTCTTTCTGATGAACTCATAAATCCCATCTGATCACAACTTTCTTAGTTTTCTCTTCTTCTCTATCTAATCGTTTGTCCTTCATCTATTTGCTTTATAATTTAGTACTTACGTTCTCACTATACGACCCAATCACTTCAACATATTTTAGTATTGGTCACACATTTTTAAATTCAATCAATATTCATACTGCATTCATTATTGGAATTAATTCTCCTTTCTAACAGAATAACAAAAAATGCATTTCAAACAAGTTATAAATTGATCTTGCATTTTAATGAGTGAAATAAGTATTTGACCCCTTTGCAAAACATGACTTAGTACTGGTGGCAAAACCCTTGTTGGCAATCACAGAGGTCAAACGTTTCTTGTAGTTGGCAACCAGGTTTGCACATATCTCAGGAGGGATTTTGTCCCACTCCTCTTTGCAGATCCTCTCTAAGTCATTAAGGTTTCGAGGCTGACATTTGGCAGCTCGAACCTTCAGCTCCCTCTACAGATTTTCTTTGGGATTAAGATCTGGAGACTGGCTAGGCCACTCCAGGACCTTAATGTGCTTCTTCTTGAGCCACTCCTTTGTTGGCTTGGCCATGTGTTTTGGATCATTGCCATACTGGAATATCCTCCACAACCCATTTTCAATGCCCTGAGGGAAGAAAATTCTCACCCAAGATAGGGTACATGGCCCCGTCCATCATCCTTTTGATGCGATGAAGTTGTCCTGTCCCCTTAGCAGAAAAACACCCCCAAAGCATAATGTTTCCACCTCCATGTTTGATGGTGGGGATGGTGTTCTTGGGATCATAGGAAGCATTCCTCCTTCTTCTCCAAACACGGCAAGTTGAGTTGATGCCAAAGAACTCAATTTTGGTCTCATCTGACCACAACACTTTCACCCAGTTCTCCTCTGAATCATTCAGATGTTCATTGGCAAACTTCAAACAAGCCTGTACATGTGTTTTCTTGAGCAGGGGGACCTTGCAGACACTGCAGGATTTCAGTCCTTCACGGTGTAGTGTGTCACCAATTGTTTTGTTGGTGACTATGGTCCCAGCTGCTTGAGATCATTGACAAGATCCTCCCGTGTAGTTCTAGGCAGATTCCTCACCATTCTCATGATCATTAAAACTCCATGAGGTGAGATCTTGCGTGGAGCCCCAGACCGAGGGAGATTGACAGTTATTTTGTGTTTCTTTCATTTGCGAATAATCGCACCAACTGTTGTCACCTTCTTACCAAGCTGCTTGGCGATAGTCTTATAGCCCATTCCAGCCTTGTGTAGGTCTACAATCTTGTCCCTGATATCCTTGCACAGCTCTTTGGTCTTGGCCATGGTGGAGAGTTTGGAATCTGATTAATTGCTTCTATGGACAGGTGTCTTTTATACAGGTAACAAGCTGAGATTAGGAGCATTCCCTTTAAGAGAGTGCTCCTAATATCAGCTCGTTACCTGTATAAAAGATACCTGGGAGGCAGAAATCTTGCTGATTGATAGGGGAACAAATACTTATTTCACTCATTAAAATGAAAATCAATTTATAACTTTTTTGAAATGCCTTTTCTGGATTTTTTTGTTGTTATTCTGTCTCTCACTGTTAAAATAAACCTACATTAAAATTATAGAGTTATCATTTCTTTGTCAGTGTGCAAATGTACAAAATCAGCAGGGGATCAAATATTTTATTCCCCTCACTGTATATACATCCAAAACCTTTTTACCAGCATTTGCACATCCTGAAACTTCTCCATCTCCCATGCTCAAATAAATATTTTACCAACATGCACTAATACATCTATACGCTTTTCAAAAACCTAAAAAGTTTTCAACAGTTTTATATAATTTGGAAGGGGCGTTGTCTTACCTGAACGCCTTTTCTCAGTACGGAGATGGAGAATCCGCCAATGGGTTTTCTCTGTCTGCCTGCTCTTGAGACCAAGTAGCCAAACTTGACACGCCCCCTCTTGCTAGGAGATCCAGTCTTAACGAGGGCGAAGTGGCTGAAGGTGGACGAGGTATTGGCTCTCAAACCCTTAACTAAGGCCTGACTGACCTAAAGGGTGGGTGTGGATTCTCCATCTCTGTACTGATAAAAGGCATTCAGATAAGACAACGTCCCTTCTCCAGTACAGGAGATGGAGAATCCACCAATGGGACATACCAAAGCCTCACTGTTCCGATGGGTGGGGAACAGAAAGGCCGGAATAGAGTCCCCGGAGACCACTTGCTGGAGGACCCTCCGACCAAAGGAGGCGTCCGCAGAAGCAAAGCGGTCGATTCTATAATGGCGTACAAACAGGGAAGGTAAGGACCATGTTGCAGCCCTGCAAATATCCTCGATGGACGCCTGAGTGGCCCATGCCGCAGAAGTCACAGCACTGTGAGTGGAATGGGCAGTAAGATGACTTGGAGCCGGCAGGGAAGAAGACTGGTACGCCTCCGCGATACAGTTCCGGATCCACCTGCCAATAGTGCCAGCGGAAACTTTCTGTCCCAGGGAAGCCGGGCAGAAAGATACAAATAAGGCCTGGGACCTACGAAAGGGTTCCGTGCGCTTGATATAACGCCGCAGTGCCCTGCAGACGTCTAGCATGTGCCACTGTCATTCCAAGTCATGGGAAGGATTTGGACAAAAATTTGGTAAGATAACTTCCTGTGCTCTGTGGAAGAGCGAGTTTACTTTGGGTACAAATGTGGGGTCCAGACGAAGAACCACCCTGTCCCTGTGAAAGATGCAGAGGTCATTTCTGACCAAAAGGGCGGCCCGCTCAGAGATACACCTGGCAATTAAAAACGCCACCTTGAGAGAAAGATTCCGCAACAGAATGGTCGCTAAGGGTTCAAAGGGTGGTTTTGTTAGAGCGCGAAGGACGCAAGGCAGTTTCCAAGGATACCTGTGTACCACAGGAGGCCTGGTGTTACATGCACTCTTGATAAAGGCGTGAATCCTAGGGTGATGAGCCAGGGGACCAGAGTCCGCGCAGGTGAGTATCGTGGACAAGGCTGCCACCTGTCTGCGAATAATCGCGGGGGCGAGGCCTCTGTCCAGACCCTCCAAAAGGTACTCTACTATCTGAGGGATGGTCAATTTGGAAATGTCAAGCTGCCGCCTTTGACACCAATGGCAAAAACTTTTCCAGGTGGAATCATAAATGTGATTGGTCGCCGGATGGCGGGAAGCCTTAATCATGGTAATGGCGTGAGGGGATAATAGTTCTTGTGCCATTATGCTGCACTCAAGTGCCAGACGGCTAGCTGCAACCATTGGGGGTCCAGGTGTTGGAGGGACTCCTGGTGCAGGGACACGCGATGAGGGGGAATCTTCCATGGGGGAGATTGGGAAAGAGTCATAAGGTCGGCAAGCCACGGCGTCTGTGGCCAGTACGGGGCCATGAGGATCACTTCTGCCTGCTCCTGGATTAATTTGCGAATGGTCGCCGGTATGAGCGGAAGGGAAGGAAAGGCGTAAAGGAGACCCTGTGGCCACGGAGTCCGCAGGGCATCCATCCCCTCCGCCTCTGGTAGGAAATAGCGGGAATAGAACCTGGGGAGTTGGGCATTGGTCAACGACTGGTAGGCTGAACCTGTGAGAGATCTCGGAGAACAGGTCCAGATGTAACCCCCACTCCGAGGGATCCACGGTGGAGCGACTCAGAAAGTCTGCTTGCTGGTTGTTGATCCCCGAGATGTGTTCGGCCTTGAGGGAGGCCAGGTTGGACTCTGCCCAGGAGACCAGGAGCCATGCCTCGTAAGTGGAGTCTTGCCCAGAGAACTATGGCTATGCAGGAGACCATCTTTCCTAATAGTTGGGAGAGTAAAACCAATGGAACTGTATGTTCCCTGTACACCTGGCGAGCTAGCTCCCTGATGCTGACCACTCGCTCCTGGGAGAGATAGACCGTGCAGTTGGTGGTGTCTATCACGGCTCCTAGGTGCAAGAGCCTGGATGAGGGAAGTGTCATGCTTTTTCGAAAGTTGACTGAGAAACCATGTTGTTGAAGGACCTGAATGGTATGTTTCACGTCCGCCTGAGCTGCCTGGAAGGATGACGCTTGAATCACAATGTCGTCCAGATAACACTGGACGCGTATTGGTATCCTCCTCAACTGGGTGGCCAAGACGGCCAGGATTTTGGTGAATACCCTGGGTGCAGAAGAGAGGCCAAAGGGAAGGGCTTTGTACTGGAAATGCCTGCCCTTGTAACAGAACCTTAGGAACCTTCTGTGAGCTGGATG